TGGGGATGTGGCTCTCCAGGTACTCCTCATTGTTCTGTTAGTGGTGGCCAGGCTAAGGAAACTGAAGAAACTTTCACAAAGCCAGCCAGGTGATTGGATGACTATGTGTGTCCCCTCCCCCTTCTGTACACTGACATTTCACCGACTTCTCTGTCATCTTCACTGGCTGAGGATGACATCTTTGGCTGGGAGGGAGGGGAGACACAGGAATGGACGCCACTTACCTCCCACCCTCCGAATGTGCGACCTGGTCATCAACAGACCCTTTTGTTAGGACATGCGGCCCTATGGCCAGCCTCCAGACCTGCATGGAGACACAGTCTGGGCCCTTGGGGACCCCCCATGGTGGCAGTACTTCAGGGTCCAGTTGCAAGTGCGACTTTTCCAACCCTGGTAGTGCTGCCACTGATATATATACAGTTGTGCTGAAAAGCTTGCATACCCTGGCAGAAATTGGGAAATTTTGGCATTTATATTGAAAATATGACTGATCATTTAAGCATAGTGATCATATGAAGCCATTTATTATCACATTCCTTTTAAATCACAATGGTAACAGAAATCACACAAATTGCCCTGATCAAAAGTTTATATACAGTAGAATATTTGCTTTTGGTACAGACACACAGGGTGACACACATAGGTTGAAATGGCAATTAAAGGTTTATTTTCCCCTATCTGTGGCTTTTTAAATTGCAATTAGTGCCTGTGTATAAATAGTCAATGAATTTGTTAGCTCTCACATGGATGTACTGAGCAGTCTAGATACTGAGCCATGGTGATCAGAAAAGAACTGTCAAAAGACCTGCGTAACAAGGTAATGGAACTGTATATATGATGGAAAGCGATATAAAAAGATATCCAGGTATATGTTTCTGACAGGCTGCTTGTTGACTGTATCTTCATTGCTCATGGTAACCACATATATAACTTGCACTCAGATGACTCTTAACATGCTAACTCTTCTTACCCAAAGTGCTAGGGATCCAAACCATAGACCATACTTGAAAAATTATTCAGTGTAGCTTAGGGTGTGGTTGCCATCATCCCTATTTTCATAATGGAGAAAAAAGTACATCTTACATTTAATGGGATTTTTAGGAAGGTTTGACTGCAAATATATTCAGCCTGGGAACCAAAGCATTTAGAATACATTAACACAAATTCTTCCTCGGGGAAAGGGTACCACTCTATAACAATAATTATTGTCAATGATCAATTATTATTAAATATCTTTATAATTATGTAATGATAAAACAAACCATATAAGGTACATAACTTACATAACCACCACAAATAATCAAAAGAAGATGTTTCACTATATCAGAAGGTGAGTTTCCTCCAAGAATGAGGCCATCAATTAGACGTGCAAAGATCACGGGTGCCACATCACAAACACTGTCATAACAGAACATATATAAATGTAATGCAGTATGTAATAGAGAACTTTACAAATAAAAAGGCATCAAGTATGAATAGGAATGAGTTTATAAAAACTACATATCCCCTTATCCAATATTGGTGGGGACAAGAAACTTTATAGATCATGGTGATATATATCCTCTTAATGGATATTTAAAGGGGGGTTATATAGGTTAAATCCATAGTCCCCCATAATTAATATTAAACTTCCACTAACAGCAATGAAGTATGCTAAACATATGAACTATATAATTAATTCTTAAAGTTTAAAAATAAATATCAAAAATAATTGCTCACGTCTTTTATAACTCACCATAGACTACTGAGTGATATAGTGATGTTTCTCCAAAGATTCAAATTAGGTTTTGAAAGCATTGCCTTGTTGTTCAGACCACAACTCTTCAAGGGGTCAGCGCCGGACACATTATATGCAGTTCTTCCCAGGTTCAAGCTAAATGCTGAAGGCTGTATCTGATAATGGCAATTGTGGCCTTTTATAGAGTCAAAAGTAGATGTAATGTGCATGTTTTCTCCCATTCGTGGATCGCGTCCGCTAGAGAGGAAGATGGCGCCCATCATGTGGTCCCCGGTGTTCCTCTCAACTGTGCATGTGCGTCCGCGCCATGTGCATTGACGTCACATCCAGCCCCGGAATGACACACTTCTGGAGACCAGACTGGAGCCATGTTGGAGACCGGCACCGACACAAAATAATATGGCCTGCACATAAAGCGCATGAGAGCAAGGGGGAAAGATTCAACTTCCCCCATTGCTCTCCAAAGCCACAAAAATGGGTCCCCCTCCATACTAGCGGATTGAGGGGCCTTTTCTGTAACGGACACGTCAATATATGATCACCCCATCAAGAAGACAAACACAGATCTCTACACAGGAAACGTACAAAAAAAGGAGTTTATAGTGATAGCAAAAATTGCCATCTGGACAGCACGACATAAGCTTATCAAGAGAAAAAAGTACAACAAATATGATTAACAGAAGGATCCCTGCAGCACAAACAAAATAGAGAGATCTCCTTATATGGAGAAATGAATGGAACATTGAATAGGAGGAAATAATTGGGTAGATTCTCATTCTGTTTTACCAGAGCTAAATCCCTCTAGAAAGGATCTATAGCTTTCAGATTCATTTAAACCAGGATGGCGAGTGGCATCAAGGCACCTAAATCAGCACATTTCTTACTGTAGTAGTGCCTTGTTCCAGTCGCATCCCCTGGTAGGAACATGTATCCTATCAAGAGCTGAAAAAGTCACCTTAGGCATCTTATATTTGTGGAATTTGGCAAGTAGTATATAAGTATACTAAGTAGTATATCTTATGTTATGTGAATGTGGATCCTTTTACGTACGTGGGTAAATCATGTCAAGAATTTTGGAAAATATGTATAAACATGTTCATGCTGTGATAATAGGTTCCATTGTTGTAATCCATCGACAATCACTGCATCCAGCATTGTCACGACAATACCGACTCGACAAAATGTTAAAAAACCCGACGCCCGCAGACCCATCTGCACCCACTGAGCACTCGCAGCTATCTGACATTTGCCAGTCAAATGTAAACAAGTGGGCAGAGCTAGCGGTGATGTCACCACTAATGCCACCTAATTGTGCTGTGATTGGCCAAACATTGCACCTGACCTGTGGACAGGTGCATTGTTTGGCCAATCACAGTGCACTGTCAGAGCATGACAGCCCGCCGAACGCCCTTACCGTTCGGGTGTTTGCTAAACGTAAGTTCGACTCAAACATCAAGCCCACCACTACTCAGCGACTCCTAAGGGGGTAGTTCTACACTTGTAAAAGTGCAAACTGAATGTAGCAGGCTCCTTGTACAAGAGGATTCAGAAGGAATCACATGTTCAGCAGTCAGTCCTTCCTCTCTCTCCCCTATTTGTAAAAAAACTGGGCATTCTGCCAAGTTCATGACTCATCCACTACACAGCAAAGAACGATGGGAAGGGGAGGAAGCAGGAAGTGAAGGGGAGAACAGAGAGACACGAGGCTGGAGAAAAGACAGGGACCTGTGGACCACGTCCAAGCAGAGGAGGAGGCACTACAGCACTCAGCACGGATAGAGGGACCCTGCTGTGTGTTCAGAGTCTGGTGAGCTGTCCCCCTGGAGAAAGTAAGACACACCATTCACACCTTGCATATAGACTGGGACATCCGCACCCCACTGCTGGGATCTCACCCATCCGGGGCCCTGTGCAAGCCACAGATCCCCCTGCCTGCTTTGCCCCTCACCACCAGTGTAATTGAGACTGTCTGCCCCGGGGACTGACACATACTGGGAGATTGCATCCTGCGACTGCCCCTGGTCTTGGGGTGCTTTGTGTTGCGTTTAGACACTGAGGTTGGACCCTCTCAGCCCAGAAACCTAGTGAAATTGGATGTAACCCACACCAGCTGAAACTCCAAAGAAGCCTTCAGCTGCTATTTACTTCATTGTAAGGACTAAACGTGCACCAACTAGAGCTCCACCGTTACAAGGACTGAAGTGGGGGAATCTGGCTTAGTAGCTTTATTAGAGGTACCTCTTTATTGCATTCTGTTCTGACTCTGAGGTGATTTTTGGCTAACACCCCTCAGAAGCAGAATCATACACCGGTGTGGGTAATACATTTCATTGATAGAGCATAAGTAAGTTTATTTGTTTGATATCAGTTGTATTCTGCTTAAAGTGCGACTCTGCCATCCGGAGACTCTTGGCTGTGAAGCCCTCTAGTGGCAGACCAAATTTACTGCATTGCATAAAAGAAGAAAAGTAAGTTTTGAAGTTGAAAGGGGAACCCCACCCCTCTACACTGCATTTCATTCTCCATAAAATTGTTCTTGTTTCATTTAACCCTGTGTCAGCAAATTTCTTGGCGGGGTATTTGCTATTCATTACCAGTTGTGCCAGAAGGATTGGGTTTGCTTAGGGTTGGATCTATTGAGCGCAGGACCCATAATATATTCCAGCTTGTCCCAAGGGGCAGTGCTACATGAACATCTCAAAGTCCAACATGCAAAACAGGATTATTCCTATATCACTACTCCTAACTCAGGCTATGTGCTGACCGGCATACCTGCAAAAGGTAGAGTCCATGTACAGACAGGAGTCCATCAGAGGCATGTCCCAGCAGCTGGTGTCTTCGAGGGTCCTTCTCTATTACAGCAGCAGCATGCAACTGTCTTATATTCCTCCTGCGTGTGGCTCCTCCGATCTTCTCCTTTATGGGATCTCTCTTAGGGGAACTCTCTCTCCCTCCTTCCTCCCTGGTCTGGCCCACTTTCTCTCTTTTATATCACAGGCTCAGTGGGTCGGACTTAGAGATAAGCTGCCAAAAACTAAAGAACCCGGAATGGCATTAACCCTTACCCTCCTGTCCAGGGCAGCACCTAACTAGAACATGCTTCAACCTGCCTACAAATGAAAGCAGTAATGTGAATAGTAATAAATTGCAGGCTAGTTTGGTTATCCTGATAGTAAAAAAATACATAAAAAAAAAAACATTTTCCTAAACTACCTCTATGTTAATGCTAACAATTAGCATAATTAGACATGCCCACTCATGGTACTCCATCACCATTCTTCATCATGGCACTCTGCATGTGCTGATTCAAGCACTTCAACTCTCATTTCCACTAGTGCATCCCAAGTACTTCAGTGACAGGGGCGGACTGACCATTTGGAAACTCGGGCACTGCCTGAGGGCCCGGGGTCAGTAAGGGGCCCCATGAGATGCCCCTGGTACCTTTTTCATAGGCTTTTTTGAGTTTGGGCAAAGACACAGGGGCCCCATGATCCCCTATTGAGGGCCCAGGGTCAGTAGGGGGCCCCATGAGATGCCCCTGGTACCTTTTTCATAGGCTTTTTTGAGTTTGGGCAAGGACACAGGGGCCCCATGATCCCTATCGCCCAGGGGCCCCATGAGTTGTCAGTCCGCCCCTGTTCAGTGATACTGCTCAGCCTCATTCACTTAAAACCAAACTCTAGGTTTTAGTTATGTTTAAATAGTTCTGTGGCCAAGCTGGTCCAAACAAACTATTTACCTCACTAACAGATGTAGATGCTGTGTGTGCTCTATAAAACTGTACGTAACCTCAGCTGTGTTCTGGCAGCAGGACAAGAACTTCCCATCCCCCTCCCAAAACAATATTGAAAAAATATTGAGCACTGCTCAGCCATTCACAGGGAGCTTTGTATTTTTTTAATGAATACAAAGCTTTCTTTGATTGGCTGAGGCAGGCAGATGGTATCACAGTCTCTGCTTCAGCCAATCAGAAGAATCTTTGTATTCATTCATAGCAGATAAAGCTGCATGTGAACTAAATTTTGTTCCAGGATCAGGTCGAGAAATTCTCCATGCTATTACCACAATACAGTGCTCTGTACTGTATGTAGCTGAGGTTACGTATAGTTTATGCAGCACACACAGATATAAGAGATATTAAAAGAGAGGCAGTGACTCATTTCACCAGACATCACCTATAACTTGTAAACCCTAACAGAATGACATTTAGTTTTCTAAATCATTGAGTATCATAAACAATTGCCATTTTGTAAGTAAAATACTTATGACTATTTTTCCTTTATAGCATCTCACTGCTGCTGATTTCCTTCAAGTTTGGGTGAATTTTCTGATGGTGGCAACAGTGGCCATGTATATATGTAATATATGTATAAGGTGAAGTTAAGCAAGCGCTATTATAAGATTCCAGCTGCTAGGACACAAAAAGGTACCATAAAACCTCTAAAAACAAATGATCATAAAAGACAGTTCAGCGCTGTTAAATGAATGTGCAGAAAATGCTAATATAAAATTAATAGTATATGTTAATTCATATAAAGTGCAAATCATGCAAATACTGCCACAACATTATGTCATAGATGCAATAAATATAAAGTGCAAAAGAACATATAAGACCACAAATGAGTGGTTATAGTGGCAAGTATGTGAAAAAGTCCAAGCAATGAACTTGAAGATCATAGCATATCTCAGCTAAAGGTGCTCAATTCCTCTAAATCAGGAGTGACAGATGATGTGACTGGAAATAAGTGAATTGCGCACTCACCAGATGTGCGCTATAAACACACATTTGAGATCACTTTTGTCTCATCCGGTCAGCCAAATGCGTGCTTATAGTGCACATCTGGTGAGTGTGCAATTCACTTATTTCCAGTCACATCATCTGTCACTCCTGATTTAGAGGAATTGAGCAACTTTAGTTGAGATCTGCTACAATCTTCAAGTTCATTGCTTGGACTTTTTCACATACTTGCCACTATAACCACTCATTTGTGGTCTTACATGTTCTTTTGCACTTTATATTTATCGCATCTATGGCGTAATGTTGTGGCAGTATTTGCATGATTTGTACTTTATATGAATTAAGATATACTATTAATTTTATATAAGCATTTTCTGCACATTCATTTGAGAGCGCTGCACTATCTTTTATGATCATATATGTAGTATATGATCCAACAGAAACATTTAGCTTCCATTAGAAGCCTTTGTGAAAGGGTGACAATTGTGAGACAAGGAACGATTGTTGTCAACCTATAACAGGAAGTGTCCGCAGAAGCACCTTCATAGTAGGATTAACAGGCATTACTTTTATAAAAGTTGCATATTTAAGAGAATTAAAAATGACATTAACATGTTAAAGCTTACATGAGATTTTAGAAATTGGGTTTACATAAGCCAGCCTTTCTCAACCTTTTCAACACAGGGGAACCCTTGAAATATATTTCCGATCTTAGGGAACCCCTGCTAAAAATGACCATTTCTACAACTCATGATGCGTTAGTGTGATGGTCAGTAGAAAGAATGTCCCCTACACATTTGGTCTTTAAGAAGACTTACCCCCTTACAGACAGCGAAAAAGATCAATGGTGTCAGTGGGAACATATCTAAGAGGCAGAAATCACTCATTGCTCCAGGAACCCCTAGCAACCTCTGGAGGAACCCTGGTCTTCCATGGAACCCTGGTTGAGAAAGGCCTACATAAGTTTTCAATATATTTAATTATATTATATTTTTTGAGAGAGGATTATTTTCCAACCAATATTTTACAATAACAGGGCCACATCTAATGTATAACATAAGCTAAACTACCTACCTGATTTCCAGGTTAATGCTCTGATCCCTGGTGAAATGTGAGTTCTGTTTCTTGCTAATAATAATACAGTGAACCATACCTATAAGAGAAACATAAAATCTAATCAGAAAACATAGCCCCTCATCATTTCTAAATTAGATCATATCACATTTCATATAAAGAGACTGTTTATATGGAATAATTTAAATAATGAACTTCCATTAGCAGACCTGAATGGTTGTTCACACCATATAGTATGTATAACAGCATTCCATAGATATATGAATATTATCTCTTGATATGGGCAATGCCTGAATTTTTCAGGAATTAATCCCTATGTGTATTTGAACAGAAGAACTCCACAGACATCTTAAAAAAGGGATCAGCCATATGAATTTTATGGTTAATTGCTATTGACGTATCTAATATTCCACTCAGGGTGTCCTTGTGCTCACCTTTGTCCTTCCTTTTCACATAATCGTAAATATGCTGCTTGGGAGATTTAAATAGATCTGATAACTATCTGACATCTATGGGGCTGATGCAGAAAAAGTGTACAAAAGAAAAAATATCTTTTTGTTCACAGCATCCAATCACAATCATTGATCAGTCTTTATACCTGACCGGTAAATACACCAGTTAGATGCTGATTATTTGCTGTAAGCAAAAGCAAATGTTCATATCACCATTTGTACATCAACCCTAATACTATTTTGTTAGAAACACCCATTGAACATCTGTTTATATCATCTTGGGTATCTATCATCTCTTTCATATTCTATTGTCATCATGCTCTTACAGAGAATTGCCCTGCAATTCTATTCATTTATGGATTATTTGTTTATTTATTTATGGCATCTTTTGCTATTTTTCAAATTGTTAAAGTAGAACTAAAGGCAAAACTTTTTATTCTGGATAAAGGGAGGATTGTAACTCATGTCAGTTTCTTTTTTTGCCATCTACGTCCCTTAGCCAAAACAGGAAGTAATAGGAAATCCCTACAAAATGAGGGAATCTCTTGTCACCAGGATCACCAGAAGTACCGTCTCCAATGGAAAATGTCACCTGTATTTCTGTTCTGTTGACAACACAAAAGTTTGGGATTTCCTTTCTCAGGCCAAAACCAATGCTCCAGGTCCTTTCATGTGGCCCTCGCACCTCCCTGTAGCTGCAGCACCCCCTCCTCTCTGCCCCCCATTATCTCAGCAGATGGCAGTTGAGAGTAGGACAGAACTTATCCACCAGATCCTGTGCCTCTCTGTAGCTGCAGCCACCCCTCCCTCGATTCTGCCACCCCTGGTCTCAGCATTCAGCTGACTCCATCCCCTCCTCTGGTCCCCCTGCAGACCCTGCACTTTCTGCTTTCCAGCCCCGCCCACAGCTTCTTCCCGGCATGGTTAAGAAGGGTACACTGTGATGTAAGGGAAGGTGCGGAATACTTGACTTCTGATGGTTGGGGGGCTCTTGACATCTGAGTAAGGGGAGGTGAGGAGCTCTGGACATCTAGTCTCACAGATACAACAGTCCCTTTGAGGACAACCATAATGCAAATGCAGCCAAGGATGAAATTTAGTTTGACACCCATGCTTTAAAGAATATGTTCACCTTTGTAAAAAAAAAAATGCTTTTTTTTTTCAGCAGATCGTGGACGCAATGTGAGGCTCCTGCGGACTGTCAGCTCGTACCTTGTAGGGGCAGCAGGCAGTTGCACAATGACAGGAAGAATCAATGAGCTACCTAAAGCACTCATCAGCTCCCTAGTAGTTCATTAAGAACTACAAGACAACAGCCACAAAAGCTGTCAGTACCTGTAGTTCTTCCATTCACAGAACTCTGTGAATGATTGATGAGGCCAGATGGGCAACGCACGGCCACTTTTTTTTAAATTGTGACAGTTGGGAGAGGACTCCTGGCTTGCTGTCACAACGGGGGATCAAGGGGGTGCAGAGGCTGCTGCAACAGTAACATGATACACCCTTATTATGGATGTAACATGTTACAAAAGGCGAACTTATCCTTTGAAGCCAGTTATACATGGATCAGAATTCAGCTGGTTCACCAGGTACCGGCCAAATTCTGATCAATGTATGGGCTAATTGGTTGTACACAAGTAAATCTAGCAATTGACTTGTGTAGAAACAGTCTGTCAAGTTTTTCCTGATCAATCAGTGCCACCAGCTATATCCAGCAACACTGAACACTGCAATCTGCTGGTATGCATTAAGGTAAAAAAAAATGTTTAGGCTTTAGAACCACTTTAATTAGTCCATACAAAACTCAACCTGAGATCAGTCTGAGCAAATGAAACCATTATTGTCATTCCTAGTGTTTTACTTGCTGCAGAATCTACATATGAGTGGTGTGCAGGGGCGGACTGACAACTCATGGGGCCCTCGGGCAATAGGGGATCATGGGGCCCCTGTGTCCTTGCCCAAACTCAAAAAAGCCTATAAAAAAGGTACCAGGGGAATCTCATGGAGCCCCCTACTGACCCCGGGCCCTCGGGCAGTGCCCGAGTTTCCAAATGGTCAGTCCGCGCCTGGTGGTGTGATCCTTCTGTTTACAGCACACAGGCACTGCTACTCCACAATGGATTTCTGCAGATTATCACAGCAGGTCCTGGCGGATTCAAGAAGAGGCAGTTGGTTGACTGTCCATCATCTTGGTGAGAACCTTGTCAACCTTAAAAGAGAAGTGTGGGAATTAGTTTTTTGTTTTTTTGTTTTTTAAAGCATACTTACCTAGGTGGATGCAGCATCAGTCCAATGCTGCATCTGGCCCCCGCCGGATCTAAGTGTGAGAACTCAGCGATCACATGACCGCTGAGTTCTCACAGCTGCT